TCAGCTTATCTGATACTAAAAAATCTGTAATAAAACTTGACTTTTTTATCTTCTTGCGTTAAATAATGAATTCGCATGTAAGGATGGTTTTTGGCGTGTTAATTACGCATGCTATAGAGTTTTTGCTTTTTTTCCGATTCCTATTTTCGTTATTTGAAACTATGTATGCATATCATTTTAGGAGTTAAAGGAATTGCATACAGTTATGAATTCTTACAAGCAGCACTTTTATTAGTTTTAAAAGGTACTGCTTAAATTATTATCTTGTAATTAGATGATTAAATTGGAATTTTAATATCTTCAGGTAAAATCGAAAATATGAATAATAAGAATTATAAATTAATATTCTAAATTCCAACTAAAAATATACGTATTTCTATTTTCCAGTTCTATTGTATATAATTAATCAAACATTAATTATTTAAGTACTTAAGAGTAAATAATTAATCGAATTTTCTGAGGTGTATTTAGTGTTTCATTAATATAGAGAATATATAAAGAATTAGAGAATTTAAAGACTATCCTGACAAAATATTTTACATGCTGACTGGTACTCAGCGACACTTTATCTAAATAGGTTCTATGGCCGAAAAGACTGGACTCATAGGCGTCTTTTTCAGCGAGTGAACTCTAATGTGCTTTATTTAATAGTTAACCAAATGTATGGTAATAGGGAAAAATGCAGAAATGAAAATTAGACAATTTGTTGTAGGAAGTAGATTTATTTTACAGGGCTATTTAAGAACTTTGTAGAGACATTAGGTAATTTTCGAAAAGCTGGAGAGATGAAAAATGAGCAATCGCTTCGCCGGGACTCGAACTACGGACCTCTGGAATACCAACCCAACGTGCAGAACCACTACACCACGAAGGCATTCTAAAAAAAGCGGGAGAAATACCTTATAACTTGAATTATCACTTACTTACATTTAATTATCGCTTACGTATAAAATTCTTATAATTTTAAACTCTACCTATAATACTGAATATTGTTTTAATTCAGTTGATTTAAACAAAATATTTAAAGTCTTATTACAGCTTAATATTTTTGAGAGCATAATTGTAGCGCGTTATTTAGTTGCAGGATATATATATGAATCACACATCCGGGACTTATATGGTGTACGTATACATCAAAAACTTAAATTAATAATTTATTAAAAGTATATTAAACCGTAATAGGAAAATTCTAAAATTGTATTAAATGAAACGTATTAAATTTTAAACACATGAAGAAAAGTTAGGACGACTCTTTATTATTTTTGAAAACTTTTATTTCATTAAAGGAAACTTACCGTTGATATTAAAATTTTATGATACATTTTAGATTACTCCAGATTACATGCTCCATATCATCTTCTCAAGGGATAATAATCTGAAACATTAAAACTTGAGTAATCCTAGAGTTCTGCATGACCTTTTGAGCAATTAAAGAAAAAACAAAATAAGCCTTAAAACAAAAAGGAAAACTGAAAATACAAAACCGAAAAATTATGTACAAGATTACACCCCATGCTCGAAAAGTATGCGATGAGCCCGACGTGATACAGTATGGCACAAATAAACAAATAATTTTTAAAAATAAATTAATATTAAAACTATAAATTGCAATGTCATGGAAAATACAGTTAAACAAAAAGTCAGTTTACATAAAAAATACATCCGCTAATTTAAAAGCAGAATTTAAACTTACTTAAAACTTTAAACATAACAAATTTGCCAATTCTAATGCTTCGTAAAGCATTGTTGTAGAAAAATACTAAACAGTTGTAAATTCACCTCAGAATATTTGATAGGTAATTAAAAAACGTGAAACTTTCATGTAGCTTAAAGAAAATAAAAGAATATAAGAAATTAGCAATAACTCTGTATGAAGTATTCAAATGTAAAAATCAAAATGGCGCTATTCTTCATTCTTTCTGTGAACGCGTGGTATCTAAGTAACAAGTTGCCATCATATATTTAAGATAAAAGTATGGAAATCTAAATAGTATGATTTGCAATAGCTCCTTATTTCTGTATTTTAATTTTTATGTTTTCTATTTTCATCCTAAAATTATAACTACTTCTAATAATCCTCCGTAAAACTGTGTTATTTCCAAATTAATCCATTGCGGACAAAAACGTTGCGGAGAAAAGAACGCAAGTCGAAAACCTCGAGAGAAAAGAAAGCAAAGAGAAAGCATTTCAGTTCTAAAACATCGTGGGGCAAAATACCGTCATCAAAACTAAAGCGGTTCAGAAACTTCGCAGTTTAAAAACATCACCGTAGAAAATATCCTGGTAAAAAATAAAGTACCTACAAATTCATCGCATGACGATAACATCGCACACATTTATTTTTCAGGTTTTTAAAAATTGTAAAGGGATTTTCGCATAATGGTTTGGGAGCGCGAGAAGAGAAGATGGATATTTTTACTTTTATATTTCATATTTTTGAATGAAGTAATAAATTTTTACTGTAAAAACATGAAGGAAACTTAAGCATTTAAAAATTGAAATTGAGTAGAAAATTAATGCAACTTACAGCACTTAATACAGCACATAAACTTAAATTTACATAATTAATTTACAAAGGTCATTAATAAATTAATCTTTTTTAATAAAGTTTTATTCAAAATTTTTCATGGAAAATACAGCCTAAAAATGTGTAGAAAGAGGAAGATAAACAATTCCATGAGGTTACCTCTATAAAAATTGCTTAGTTAATTATCAAATTACTCTCTTTCACGTTTGTTAATCTGATATCCCCCATCCTGGTCAAAATTATTTCTTGTTTTTCCCTTTATTCTTAAAGTTTTAACCTTTTTTGCACTTCCAAATCTTTAAGCATTTACAACTCTTAAAACCTGAAAACGCATTGTAGAGACATCAGGTATTTTTTGGCAGAAAGGCAAGATGCAAATTTAGAAAACGCCTTCGCCGGGAATCAAATCACGGACCTCTGAAATACCAGCCCAGCTTGGAGAACCACTACACAACGAAGGCACACTATTAAAGCGGAAGAAATACCTTTTAGCATGTGTGCGATGTTATCGTCATGCGATTATTTATAGATGCTTTATGTTTTACCACGATATTTTGTACGACGATGCTTTTAAACTGCGAAGTTTTTCGGCGACGATGTTGTGTATCACGATGTTTTAGAACTGTGATATTATTTATCTCTTTGCCTTCTTTTCTCCCACAATGTTTGCCTTGTTTTTTTTTTTTTTTTGTTTTGTTTTTCCGCGACGTTTTCGTCCGCGATGTTTTCGGCTGCAACCATCCATGCCATGTGATTTTTACATAATGTTAGTGATGCAGATAATTTTACAAATTGAAAATGAAAACGACCGATCAGCAGGAAGGAAAATCAGTCTTTGCCAAATTTCCATTTCAGATCCGTCACATGTTGTTTCCTGCTTACCGTGTTATTTAGTTTGCTGCTCACCTGTTTTAAAAATATTATTTCAACGTTAAACAGTATTGATGTATTACCAAGAACAGACGCATTTAGTTCGCCGCTTTATATATGTTGGTTTATAATATTTTTTGTAAAAGGAAACAAAATGAATTTTGAAAATCTCACATAATTTCAAGCTTCTTTATATTTGTGAGGTCGCCCTCACACGATAGAACACAGCAATAAAATGGATCTGTTAACATTTCTTCAGCGTAGACTTTTCGAAAGGCTATTTCACAGCGATTTTCTGCTACGGATCTTAGTACCTTAAAGACTCGGATGAGGAGATGAATATTAGAAGAGGAGTGGAATAATTTTCCTCTCAGGAATTAGTCTGAGCATGAACCTGATCATGAAACTTTGCTGTGAAAATGTGGTTACAAATCAAAAGTGGTGGCATTCCCTAATTCGCAAACGCATGTGACAGCGCGACTGTCTGCATTTATTTCCAAAACATCCCCATTTTTTTATATTTCGATAACATGCATTATTTTATTGCGTAATTTTGTATTCATTTATAATCCAATTTTCACCTTGTAATTACGCACTAAATATCTTTCTAATACATTTTATCAATGTTTTTATGCACGTAAAGGCAAGTTTAAAGATCGGTGTATATTTTTCATTAGTGCGCAGAAATGTGTTATGAAAGACGAATTTTAAGAAAGGATAAAGTTATGAAAAAAAATTTATATTACGCCGAAAGGGGCGTTCTTTTAACGTTTGTGTCATGCCTTTATTTATTGAATATCATGTTCTTCGCACTTAAATCACATAAAATTCAATTCAACAGCTTGTCACAAAATATTTAAAAACAGCAAAACAGCACATCTAGAATTTCCAATACACAGTGTCGCGCGCTGGAGATAAAAATGTTTTTTCCCGTACAGTGTTGCTGTTACTGACTTTGAAATCGTGGAGTCTGTTAATAAAAAATTTCATAAAGTTTTACAACATTTGAAAGAGGTAATAAAACAAATTCGAAATTCAAAATTCGGACTTCCAAGTGCCCATGTTCGGTTGGAGAACTACGTTATTCAAAATTTGATGTCTCTAGGTAGCGTTGATTTTTCACAATGCGAGAAACATTCCTGCAGATTCTTCATTATTTTGTTTCTTTAAATATAATAAATTTCGATAATATTTGGTGGTAACAGTTTAAAAGGTGATTCAACGCAGAAAGTGAAACGACTCAAAATACCGTTTTGAGACTAATAGCCCTTTGGGTCTAATACCTCTTTCGGCTAATTAAGAAATTCTTTGCATTAAAATATAACTTAAACTGAAATTCTAAAAAATCATAACTACATTTATTTCTCATTTTTATTATTAAAGATAATAATCATGATCGTGTTAAACTTGTATTTATTAAAATTACCGTTCTAAAAATGGTTCCTATTAAAAAATCATGCATAAAGAATAGTAAGATAAACTTAACTTAATTTTAAAATAATTCCTCTACAGGTAAGTTTGAAAGTTTAATCTGGAGCTAGTTTATGTATCGCTAAATTCAAACTTTAATCATGTTTGTAAATATTTTTCTTTCCTTTTACAGAATTTTGGAAAATATCGATTGAGTTTGATTACTCATGATTCAAGAAGTGCAAATATTTATTTTCATATCCTCGCCAAATGTTAAACGGTAGTGATGGGGAGAATGGACTGGTCGGTCTTAGCAGTATTCATTGTCCTAATATCACTCGTCTGCTCAGCAACTACCTGTCATCCCTATCAACAGATGAAAATGCGACGATGCCTATCAATGATGTCGCGTAAGTATATAACTTTATTTGCTTATTAAATTTTCTAGAGATAAATCATTTAGCTTGAATAATTATAAACTAAATTAGCTTTCTCATCATTATCAAACAGTGTCATTCAAAACAACCGTAGCATTTAGTTTTAACTCCGAGGACACGTATCACATTAGCTCAGATGTTCCAAAGAAAATGCCATTTTTTAATGAAAGTGTATTTTTAATCATCATGTGAATAAGATCACTGAGCAATAGTAGTTGAACCAGGATTATAATCTTGAAACATGAACCGTTTCCTTTGGTTTTTCCTAACTAATGCAGTGTCAATACTACACTGGTTATCATAAATTAAGGAAAAATAACAAAAATAGCGATAACTCCCCTCAAGCCAAACCGTGTAAAATTTGAATGTTGCCAAGTAAGAGTTGCTGAGTAAAACTACAGTATACAAATTAGTAGCGCTGCACTCGGATACGTCATCTGCGAAGAGCATTAAAGTCCATGTTTGAGAGCAAGCCCACATATTTCACTGTTATAGTGACATCAGAAATCTGAGATAGCCAATTCGTAACAATGACCTCCAGGTATCATTTGCCTGCAGAACTACGATGGAGAGCCATTGGGAGATTAGAGGCAGGACAAAGTCAAACAGAATTGGCCAGATGGCTAAATGTGAGTCCTTCTGTGGTTCATAGACTTTGGAGGTAATTTCAAACCACAGATTCGGCATCTAGGAGGTTCGGTCAAGGACGGCCAACTGCTACGACGAGCGCCGATGACCGATATTTGACATTATGGGCACGCAGGAATAGAACCGCTACTCCGACTCTCCTTAGACCCTCCCTTGCTGCAGCCACCGGAAGGTTGGTGTCAACGTTAACTGTGCGTAGAAGGCTTCACGAAGGTGGTCTGTATGGCGAGTCGACCAGCCATTTGCGTGCCTCTCCCGTCACGTTATAGGAGGGACCGTTTGTAGTGGGCACAACAACATGTCCACTGGACGCCTGGTCAATGGAGGGCTGTTTGCTTTACGAATGAGTCCAGGTTTAGTCTAGAAAGCAATAGTAGGCGTTATTTGATATGGAGAAAACCCGAAACCCGTTATTATCCGTCGAACATCTGTAAAAGAGATGCATACGGAAGAGGCAGTGTCTGTGTTTGGGGTGGCATCTTTAGGTTGACGCACAGACTTCTATGTCTTTCCAAGGGAAACCGTGAATGTTCAGGTTTATAGAGATGACATCCTTGATGCTTATGCGCGCCGATATACCGGGGCAATAGGTGATACTTTCCTGTTACAGGACGACAACGCAAGACCACACAGGGTTCGCATCGTAGATACTTATCTTCAACAGGAAACAATTATGCGTATGGACTGGCCAGCTCGATCCCCGGACTTGAATCCTATCGAGCACGTTCGGAATGCTTTAGGGAGACGTCTAGCTGCTCTCAATCCGCCCCCTCAGACCCTTGCTGCGCTTGTAACTGCTTTTCAAGAGCAATGGCTCTCGCTTCCTAAGGAACTAATAGACCACGTAATTGAAGCATCACACATCGCTATATGTGCTGTATTGCTTCTAGAGGCGATCATATTCTATATTGAAGGTACTTTCCCTATAGCAAACTGGCACCTTCGATTTGTTCATTTTATACATGTGTTAATTTCTATACTACCATAATTGTCTGGTAATTTCTTATGTTATTTGATACCTTGCTATGTGTTGTATATTGCGTGTACGTTTCATAAAATTCTACAACTAACTTTTTCAGTAATCGTGATTTCTGTGTTTTTCCTTAATTTATGATAACTAGTGTAGTTTAAAAATTTTTCCAATAAAACAGTTCTTCCATTCTTACTTTTTTTAAATATTCAGTTCAAATTTCTTTACAAATTCTTCCATTCTTCCTTTCACTCAGATAATTCTTGCTTACTTTGCTTTAGTTAAATTAACCCTTCGCTTACAGTTGCTATGTAACATGCGACGAAGCAGGCTTATTCAGGAAAACAAGTGTCATGTGCTTGTGTTTCCATGCTAAACGTTTGTGTCAATAGCATTTCTCATCGAAACTGATATAAAATATTTTTTTATATCATCTTGATATTCAGAATATATTATACATATTTTATGTTTTTCTTATTATTTTACTTCTTTTTCTTCTTTTCTTTGCAAATAAAAGAAAAAATATATTTTCTGAAATACAAGCAAAACTCACTTTTCTCTTCCAAATCACTATCGTATAAGCACCATTTTAATTCTTCAGAGCACTATCGTAAGCATTCTTCAAGTGCTCTGAAAATGGTACCGTAGTTTAGAGCACTGTTGTAATAACTATAGTATTGTTGCGAAATTCCCAGTTGCGGTGAGATATTTAAGGAATAAAATGGGTTAGGCTTGCCATAAACTGGCAGGGAAAGGCAGGGTTTCCAGATTTGGTGCGAAATTGCTCATTAGGCGACAAAATTCCCGATATGTCATAAATGGACTGAGAACATTCTAAAGCGCATTTTTAGCAATTTTCTTTTGGAATGTTCTCGAATATAAGTTAAGGCTATATATATCCTAGAAGAGTATCTCGAGTTCAGTAGGAGTGTCTTGTGTTCAGTGATTAGCTTGAGAGCGACCGAACTGAGTCTGTTAGCTGCACTTAGAACTGTGACGTGTCTTCACCGTTGTAGCCCAAAAGCTGTGTTGCTGATTGCTTCAGCGTATTTATAGTAGTTTTTCAAAGACTGTAAACATGTCTTTGGAACTCTCTTGTGTAATACTAACGAAAAAACTGTGTTTTGATTCTTCATCGAATGTTGTCATCGGTTACTCAATCGATCCAGTATAAACGAATGAAGCTGGAGTTAGTTTTCCGAGGTTGTTATTATTGTTTTTCTTTTATATGTTTTGCTTACGTTTGAGGAAGTATATTTTCTCAGTGTGTTTAGTATACAGTGTTAGATATGAGACATTGTGTGTTGCATAAAGTTATTTTAATACTGCTGCAAAAATTTGGCAATAACAAAAGCACAGTAATGAATTTTATGTATGAATCAAATGGAGAAATCAGCTTCACATTTCAGAAAATACTTTATAAGGCAGGGCAAAGTGTTTATTTACAAAATATAGAGGCTTGAATAAAGTTCTTGATGCACGCTCATGAAGCTCAAGATCCGAAAATTTCCAAAATCAAATAGATGAAAATCTCTTAAGTAATTACAAAAGATTTCTTCTGCTAAAATAAAATTAATAAATTTAGAAATCACACTAAGATTATTTAATCTAGACTATTACAAAGACATGCCTAAATATAAAACAAAATGTGACAATAAAACGCTTTGTAATTTCACAATATTTATATACAGAATGAAGTTTCAAAGAGAAAGCTGTAATTATTTTAATTTACTAGATTTTGATTGCTCATTTATTTACGTATTTCAGATCTAATACCCCAGATCCAGCGACACGTCTAGCTGAAGAGATATCTCAACGGAATGCCGTCATCTACATCGTGGTTGTCTTGTTCTTCTACTCTTTCGGTATTGGGATCATGATGATTAAGTATATGCGGAAGGAGGCAAAAGAACAAGAGGAATTTAAGATGTATCGACGCTATATGAACGATGCACATGAGAATTATGTCAAATCTACTAACCGAGCACGTCTGGCCAATCGCCTGGCATTACAGGCTCTTAACATGGTCAATGCCATTCCTCAGACCAGTCAGGTTGGAAGCAAAGTCACCTTTGTGTGACCTTATAGGGATGGCTCATTCGATGCACCTCTTTCTAGGCAGAAGTACGGTAGCTATTCGTCAACTTCTACCCTCAATAACTAGAATAATGCCCGTACGATTGTTTTCAGTTGAAGACAATGGTGAATTCTTCTAGAATTTGCATTTGAATAAAATTTTAACTAAGCATCTGCAGTATTGTTGGTGAAGACAAAGTATTTTGATGTCTGTGGTATTTAGCATTATGATGTCTTTACAATCAAATCAAGCTATCAATTAAATATTCTAGTTAACTAATAGAAGATCTGAAGGTTTGATGTCATTAGATTGATTATCATCAAGCACAAGGTTTATGAAGACCATCAAATTTTTTACTTCCTTCTTATCACAATCGCTGCTGGTTATGTTAATTACAGTAATTTGCATTTGTAATTCTTGAGTTAGGACATATCTTGCAGCTTTAGAGTTTTAATAAATTGTAATAGGTAGTACAATGTAGATTCAGCACTAATTACGGTCGAGAAACATAGTTCAAATTATGTTTGCAACGCAACTGTTCATAAGTTGTTAGGTCACAGATTAGATTGTGAATTAGACTGTGTTACAAACAGCATCTAAGCGACATTTTTAAATCAGAAGGATTTTAATTACATAACTTTTAAATTGAATTTCACATGACAAATTATTTACCTGTAAATAGAGAGTATAAACTCAAACACTTATCTTCCCCAGTGGAAGTAAATAGTCTGAATTGTTCAGGATCTCTTCCATTCTGCAGTACATTGTAAATATCATTATCTATACAACGGCTGCGCTTAAAGTTTAAAAATTTTTAAAACTATATTTTAAGTGTAATTTTATATAATGATAAAATAATAATTATGAGAAAATTTTGCATTAGAACTACAGATACATATCAGTCCTTTATTTCAGATCTAGGTTTTGAATTTTGTATAAAAATAATGTCTTAATATTTGTATTCATTTCTGCTATGAGAATTTTTCTAAATTACAAAATTTTAATTAGAAATTTTTAAAAAGTAGATGTAATCAATTGATATCGCTTTGTTCTAATGAGTTATTTCTTATCTGTTTATACGTCATTACGTTTGGACAGGAATTCTCTTTCCAGCACTCTTTATTTTCAATTCCTTAGTGGCATCTTCGAATTTTAGTATATATCTAATTATATCGCTCACTGATTTTAATCGAATTTAGCTTTTAAGTTCAATTTCACAAATTATGCATCCTGGAAACTTGATAAACTAATAGGATAGTACTTGACCATATTTTAGAAAGTATGTTTTATATGTATTTTAAGTATTTTGTATTTTGTAAAAGTATTTTGTTATATTTTGTTTGTTTCATGTGTTTTAAAACATGGTTTTTTTAATTGAACATTACTATTTAAATAATCTGCTAAATTATTTCTTAAACATATCTGTTACTATACAAAATTGTTTCGAAATTTATCTTCGAGAAAAAATTTATACTCTTCTATATAACATTTTATAAGGCTTTTTATATATGGTAATACCTGTATATATATATATATATATATATATATATATATTACTATTTATATCATCAAACTTATTTATCTACTTTTGTTGAAATCTTTTAATGAGTATTATTTTCAATTCATATAGCATGAATTTTAAACATTTATTTCAAACTGTATATCACAAAACTTGTGTAAGAAATCGATAGATAATGAAGAAACAGTTTTTATAAAGTTTTAAATCTCTTATAGTTCAAATGATGTATTTGAATTATCAGAAATAAAATACTGAACTGTACATTTTACCTATATCTTAGATTGCTTCATTAAATATATTTAGGCAAAATGAAATAATTGAAAACACTCTTAACTATAAAATGCAGAATAAAATTTACGAGGTTTAAAATTATAACGAATACGCGCTACAAATATTTGTGATACATGAAATTTTGAATTAAATTTGAAAGCAATTATTTGAGTTTTAAACTGTGCATTTAGATTTAGATTTTAATCACATTTAAATATTATGGAATAATTTAGGTTTCTTGGTTACGGTTTATGCCTAAATTCACTAACAAATATATGCATTCTTGATTTAAAATTAAGGATATTTTTGCATTCTTGCATCTAATGTCCTTACTGTCTGAATATTTAATATCACAACATTTACTTTAGGAATCTTACTTAAAGATAAAAACAAAAAGGAATTTTAGTTTACTTTTTCTATGAGTGTTATTTTAAGGTTTTGAGATTTCCTGTACCAGAATAAGAATTAAGAGAATAATTTTAAAAAAAAAGAGATGAAGTATTGATATAGTTCCTTTTCCACTTGAACCTGAAACATAAACTAATCAGGATTTTCTGCTTTTTCATTGTCAATTTAAACGTCAGTACTTAATATAGGTACTTTATTTTACTCATTTTTCTACTTACGATGTCACTACAGTTAACACATACTGAAAGAAATATGTATGTATATAATTGCAGATTGCAATTATAGACATACAAAATGCATCAAAACTATGGTTACACGTGTGTTACAAGACGTGAGATAGCGCCACATTAGTTTTCCGGTTAGTAGAAAGTCCTTTTTTTACAAACTGACGATTAATACAGAACAATAGGAACTAAACTTACTTTATTACTTTTCCGCAGTCTGTTAAAGAAAGTTTCCACATTCATGTTTGCTGTTGCTTACACCAGTACTACAGAAACATTTTTCAGGAGGTATTTTTCGTCTAAATGGCTCCTATTTCAAAGAATCGTTTTCTTCATTTTCCCATAATCATGGGCTGCTATGCTGCATTCAAAACTGTTACGCTCTGTTCAATAGTCCTACTATTATCCTGCGCAACAATCAATTCTAGCCGGATTATATTGGCTACTAGCAGCTTCGCTGCCAGCCTTCGTCTGGCTTTTAAATGGCTGAAGGAAACAACAAACGCCGGAAAAATTGGCTGAAGGGAACACCAAACGTTACATTTAAAAACGGCGTAGAATTTTACTCTGCAGAACTACTTCACAGAAAAAGTTATTACGTATAACAAAATTACAATGAAATAAGCAATATCCCTTAATACAAATATTAATTATCCTAATATATAAATTAACCAACTTCCTTTTGCAAAATCTTAAGAATTCAAATGGTATAAAGGAGGTTAAGAACTTTGTTTCCTAAAAAAATCACTCAAAACTCTTCAATATCTTAAAGACAGTGAAATGAGCAATAAATAACATAAAAAAATACAAAAAACAAAAATTCTGAAAAGCAAAGTATAATTAATGATATTTTATCTTATATTTTCAAGAGAAAAAAATTACAATGAAATAAGCTATATCCCTTAATACTAATATTAATTATCCTAATAAAAAAATTAACCAACTTTCTGTTGAAGAAAAAAAAAATCATGCAAAACTTTTCAATATCTTACAAATAGTGAAATAAGGAAAAAATAACATGATAGAAACTCAAAAAACAAAAAATTCCGCGCAGAATTTTACTCTGCAGAACACCTTTATCAAAAAAAAAAATCAATAAAAATGTATTATATATATAAAAAAATGACAATGAAATATGCAAATCTCTTAAAAACAGTGACATCAGAAATACGATGAAAACTTGTTTCCAAACCCATATTTCTAAAAGAATGGAACTATTCAAAATGATGCGATTTCATCAAAAATCTATCAACAACAATAAGAAAGGAAAATTGTTGCCAAAATCACATTTTTAAAGATGTGAGACGTGTACTCGGAAGCTTCAATTAAATTTTTTTTCAAAATACAAAATATTATCATTTTTCCAACTCGGAAGCTTCAATTAAAAATTTTTTTTTAAATACAAAATATTATCATTTTTCCAAAATCTTTTTGTAAAAGCATTCGCAAGGATGAAGGTTTAACGTGTCCAAAAATCAAAGAAAAATAAACTGTACATTTTTAAAAATAAACTTTTTTAGAAAAAATCCCGTTGAAAAGGTGTTAAGCTCACTTTGTTAAATAAATTCGTATTCAATCGATTTATTGAAACACGAAATTTATTTTAAGTTCGTAAAACAGCTAAGTGGCTCCTTTTCATGACGATGTGAAAATGAAGTGTGTAGAGTAAAATCTCGCTTTCCTATAGCCCCTTATGTCTCAAAATGACGCGATTGCGTCACAAAACATAAAATAAAAAAATTCGAATTCGCATTTCGAAAAATTCGCTTCGAAGTGCACTGGCTCTTGTGTAGATGCACCAGTGTACCAAATTTCGTAGCCGTGGGTCTATTAGCTTACGCGCAGCGCCGAAAGACACACACACTGACACACAGACAGACTCTTTCTTTTATTATATGTAGAGATTAATTGGTAAATGGTCAGCTATTAGCCCGATCGTTCTGGTGTACGTTAAATTGCAGCAGTGGCAATTTTAAACCCAAATGCCGGTGCTGTAGATGTAACCTTCTCTTGGATTTTCAAGGCCGCTTTGTCTAATAATATAAGTTCTGCTTAATTTTTTAAGTAAGAGTGCTTAAAGTGAAAACAAAATAAAGTTTTAAATTTAATATACCGCCCTATATAATATATCGTAATACATTACATTTAGTTCGAACCTGTATCCATATTTCTGACTTACCTTGTATAGGTGTTCAACATGGAAGAGTGTGATATGTCATTGTGGGTGGAAAGGATGAAGAACAGACATAAATATGTACATATCTTTAAAGTATCGTATATGACTCTACCTATTTCTTTATTGAATTTTAATTATAATAAAGATTTGTATCATGTATTTAATTTTATTGTCAAATGAAACAACCATCAGTCATTTGCTGTTAAGACGCCAGCCGTAGCGTATAAAATATTGGAAAAATGTTTCATATTTGCTTGTTGATTATATTTAAAATGTTAATTCACGTTTTGAAAAGGAATTTTGCTTACAGAAAACATATCAAAGACATAATAGCACTTAATGCTATTCTATTGACCAAGATTACATATCTCATGCAATATTCTACTTGAAATCAGCATTGTTGTAAAAGTTCTTGCATATTTATTTTAAGAGAGCTGCCATCATTAGTGCAATTTCTAACTGAATGTGCCATAATATTTTACTTTCGAAATTTTCCATGTTTGCGGACTATATTTTCATTATAGCAGAAGGAAGATTTCAATAATTCTCGTATTTCTTCTTATAAAAGATATAGTAAAGTGTATTTAATTTATGTTCGGAAAATAAATTTAGTAAAAAAAATTTGGCAACCGAATGAAAAATAGAACTAAATTTTAATGCTGTTGTTTGCCTAATGCAACAACAAACACGTCTTAGGAATTTTGTTATAATTAATTCCGCAACTCAGGACATTAGAGCATTTAGTTTGTAAGAAACATTGAAAAAAGAATTGCGTATTTGTATTGCTACATTAATTCTAATGAACGTCGTATTGAGATGATTTCGGGAGAATTACAAAAACGTTTTCGTAAAATTGTATCTAGTGTTTGACGCTAGAATACAATTTTGCAAAAGTATACGGACAGATACGTAGTAACAATAACACTACATTTTAGAATTTTTCCTTATATTTTTAAAGCAGAATAGATGCTAATAATCTCTTTCCTTTTCTAAAAAACCTGGTTGTAAAATGTTTTTGAAAAGAGATGAACAAATAGGGGCAACAAAATTCGTGCTAAATAGTACAAAAATATTCATGTGACAGTTTTTTAGCAATTCATTAAAATAAAAAGTAAACATTTCAAATCGCTACAATTAAATTATATAGCTTATAATGTTCCTCACTTCTTGGTCTATGAATGTAGAGGAACCTAATGAACTGTAGAGCGACTTATCGCTGAGTTCATGTGCATAATAACAAACTTCATAGAAGGGATAAAATACCCTTTTATTCATTCAAACAATTATTCACAGACGGCCCCTTCTCGGGCGTACAGGGAATCCTCTACTTGGGCTTCAAATCAAGATACGAAAAATCAGAAACTAATCTAATACTAAACTAAACTGACTAAACTGAGCTCAAGCTATACACAAATGCCTAACGTAGTTGGCCCTTAATTTAACCTAGCTGGCAATCAATAGGCACGTACAATACGGCCGAGCGCAGTAGATTTAAGAACGATGTAGCCTGACAGCAAACTGAGGACTTCTAAGCTGTCCCTTTCGAAGTAAGCTAAACCTTCCTTAAATACCCTTTCTAACTCATTCGCATACAACGCGATACGTAAAACTCATTGTAGTAGGGAATAGTATATCTGAAACGATAATAGACAGTAAACTTAAAATAACTGTTAGAAACTTAAAGTAACCTCTACGAGCTGTAAAAATGGTGCACAGCAAATCCAATAAAACTATTAACGCGTATCGTTCAACTCATCATTTTCGAATTTTTAAGCAAACTTTCTGCATGC